ATGGGTGAGGGGAAGTGAGGCTGGGCATTTGGAGATTAGTCCAAGGTTAGACAATCTGTCTTGGGATACCCATTATCATAAATGATGCATCCCTCTAGGGTGGGGAGGAGGTCGTTAGCTGACCGCTCTTACTCACACTTCAAACCACATGTCCAGACTTGTTTCTGGCTGACATCCATTTTCTGTCATTAAGGGCCAGGCAGTGTATTGCATTTATGATATTGTATGAAGGGTATAAACTGCCCCTCAGTGAGAGGCGGGTTCTGACTGCTAGCACTAGTGCATCACTCAGAAGCTAAGCAGAGTTGATAATTGGAAGGGAAACCACCAAGGAAGATTCTGCAGAGGGGGGCAACAGCAAACCACCCCAGCTTCTCACTTGCCTTGTAAGCCCCTTGCTGGAGTCATCATTGACCTGATGGCACTTTACATACACACACAGTAAGACTGGAGAAGGGAAGATGACATGGTCCAGCCAGAGTGGAAGCTAAGCAGAGTTAGCCCTTGGGTGAGAGACCACCAGGGAAGACTCTGAAGACAAAGCAATGGCAAACCACCTCCACTTCTTACTTGCCTTGAAAGCCCCTTGTGGGGGTTGTCAGAAGTTGGTTGCAACTTGACTGTATCCACTTGGTTCCTGCTCCCTCAATGCATCCCCCCAGGCCACAGTTCCTTTTTGTTCATGTGGGTCCCACGATCTCCACCAGACATTTTGGATGTCTGAGGAAATGGGAGGGCAGGATCCAACCCCAAAATTTCAGCTTTTAACTGGAAAGAATTCTTATCATCCTCATTTTCAAGAGGAATCTTAGTTAGACATATTCCATTGTATATTTGAGGCCCTTGCTGTACAACTGAATTGCTTTTCGTATCTTGTAACTGGCCTTGAGTCTCAGTGAGAAAGGCGGGCTATAAATGAAATTAATAGTAACAATAGTCATTTTTGGCAATGTGATGGCAATCTCTTCTAGTGTATTTCCCACCAATCAAGATGTCCACCTCTCATCCAACCAGCAGATCCCAACATTCCTAGAACGCATGGTTTTATTCTATTTGATTTCTTAAAATATTCAAGTTCTGCTTTTCCTCCCATCAAAGGAGACTCAAGGCAGCTTACAGAAGAGGCAACAAACCAGCCTAGCTCAAAACATACTAAAAGCAGAAGAGTACAACATGAAAAACAACCCTGAATTCTTCCAGGACAATCCACAGATTCCACACACACAAACACACACACATCCATAGCCGTTTGGTTAAACATTCAGCCAGATGGTCAGTTGACTCACAAGAGCATCATGCGACTCAACCAGGTGGTTAGCTGATCCAACCTTATGGTTAGCTGAGCTATAGATGAATCATGATAAACTTGTATATTATGCTTTATTTATTTCTCTATTTTAAATTTTGCAATCCATCTTTATTACCTTGTCTGTTACATGTACTATAATGGTTCACTGTGTTGTTCAGCCATCTTGTAGCTCCTGCTTTTTTGCCTCTATTTTTATTTAAAATTACTATTGAGTAATTGTTGGTTCTAAGTATTATGTGGTTCTTTACTACATTGTTTTAGCTGTAATCTACCATGAGTCTCAACAAGATTTTAATATTTTATTTTACTTTTAATTCCCATAATACAAGTTTATACAAAGTATCATAACAAAGGAAGGAATAACATTTAAACTAATTTGTCAAGGATAGCCTACAATATGCCCAAATTGGATTGATTTCTAATATATCTATTGTCCTATCTTTATAATCCACTTGGGAGAGTCTCAACAAGATTAAGAACATAAGAGCCCTGGTGCATCAGACCAGTGGTCCATCTAGTCTAGCATCCTGTCTCTGGTTATGACCAGATTACAATGTATTTAAAAAAAAAGAAAAAAAAAGAATGATTCCTGGTGAAAAAGTGTTTCCTGGTGTACATATTTCAAGTATTATATTTATTGAAATATTTATATTCTATCTTTCCTTCCAGAGGAAGCCTTCAAGGTGATTAGCATATAGCTAACATAACAAGCTATCGTGAATGATAAGTCAACCGCAGAAGCAGCATAAAGGACCTGTCCCCTCCACCCACAATATCAAAAAGACTACTGAAAAAGCTTTTGAAGATCCTCACAATGCCTGTTGCATATATTGGTCTGTTGGGAGGAAAGATCAAATCCTAAAATGCAAGACCATTTTAGGTCAATGTACCAGTAAGGGGTTGAAAACAGAGACTGGGATCCTATGAACAAGTTCCGCAAGTGCTGGACAGCTTCTGCTACAGGGCTCACCTCCTCACTCATGGAAAACCATGGGTCTGGTGCAAATAGAAGTGCTGTTGTTGGAGAAAGGGAACACTGTGGCCAATACTGTCTAGTGCATGCAGTATTTGTTCATAAAATCCAAGCCATAATCCTTAATCTCCCTTCAGATGAAACAGCTCATGTTCAAAATGGGAGCACTTTCCTGTGTCACCCAAGGTCCACAGTTGATTTACTAGCACCTTAGGTCAACTCTGGGCAAAACACTGAAGAAATATCAAGTGTGAGACAAAAAGATCAGTTATGCCAGGGACAAGGCTGACTACCGATGGGACTGGAGAGAAGACGCCCTAATGTCTATTTGGGGGCAGAAGCTGTCAACAGTTAATGGATGCAGTTGCAGGTAACACCAAACCCACAAAATTATTCTGGCACTGTTAGAGGAATGCCATAATCAAAGCCTGAATCTTTCACATCAGAGGTCTCATGCGTTCAAACAATGGATGATGGAACAGCAAGGTAGATATTTCTGAACCAATTTAAGGTAACTACTCCAGGTTGTCATTAAACACCAGTAGTGCATTGAACAACCTTGGCCTGCCTGATAGGAAGTCATTTTAATCTCTAATATAGCTAATAACTTAGGTTGTCCTCACAACAAGAAGTCTACCAATAGCATTAAATGGCTACATTAATATTTCTTGCTTAATCAACTATTTTTGTTGTTTCAATTGTATTCCTTTTCTATGAATCGAGTTTATTGTCTTCCTGATGTATAAAGCAATGTTTGCATAGTGGGAAAAACACATACAGAAATACAGAATCATAGAATGTTAGAGTTGGAAGGGACCTTGCAGGTCATCTAGTCCAACCCCCTGCACTCTGCAGGAGCATAGCCGAAAGTCTCAATTTTTTTGGCTGCTGCTTTAAAACATAATTTGTAAGGCTTTGACATTATTCTCATTTCATTCATAACCACTTGTCTTATGTTCAGAATTACTGTAATGTGCTCATTTAGAAATAAAGCAAAGCACCGAAAACTTTCTCTTTTGGCATGATTTAAGACTTGGATGGTTCTGGGAATTGCTCATACACTGTTAAAAAGAAACACATTCTGAACCTAAAGGAGATGGCCCACAGGGTCATCAGTTTAATGGTTCTTCTGGGCCAAGACGAATTTCCGGCTGGTTTCAGCCAAGCCAAGAGCAAAATCCCAGTATGAATGGCCCTCCCTTTCTGAGGCTCTTTGCTGTATAACTGCCAAGGAAGAAGCTGAAGCTACAGTATAAAGAGATCTCCTGGGTAGACACATTCATCAGTTTGTTTCCTATCTAACAGCAGCTGCGAGAAAGGCAACTGTGCAGCGTACTAAAACCTCACCTGCTGATCTACCCACAGTACAGCTCACAGTCAAGAGAAATACAAACATGCTTTGAAAGCATAAAACAGAAAAGTTGAGATTATCAGGATGCCAAATCCTCTGCTGGAGAAACCTACAAATCCACAAAATACATGCATGCAGCCTTTACTATTGGTAATGTTATGGCCATGAGACCTTCTGAACAGTGAGAAGGAAACATATGGTCCTCAATCTGTACTGGGTTTACCAGGGCCTACAGAAGGCCGTGGACCAGTCCGTTTAGGAGAAATGCCTTTCCTGGAGAAAGACTTTTGGTGAACACATGAAGCTCCTTTATAGTAGCCCTGTTCACAAGTTATGCTGAACACATGTACAATCAATGCACACTTGATTTTTCCTTATATGTGCATTGAGTAATTATGTTAAGTCAATGCATATACAACTGAACTTATGATTTAAACTCCACATTTACCCAGGTACTTATCTCCAGTTTTATTTGTAAAGTGAACATGCGTTCACTCTTTCATACAAGCAGATGTACACAGGTAAATGCAGGATGTATGCACATTCACTACAATGTGTGAACAAGGCTACTGAGTTCGAACACTGGTCTATCAAGGTCAGACAGAACACGGGTCTATACTGGTCCCTTGTCCTACAGTATAGTCGTCTCTGATGGGCAGGGTCTCAATTAGAGATCTTCCACATAATCTGCTATTTGCTTCCTTTAACTGGAGAGAAGAAGAAGAGGAGATTGGATTTATACCCCGCCCTTCACTACCCAAAGGTGTCTCAGAGCAGCTTACAAACTCCTTTCCCTTCCCCTCCCCACAAACAGACACCCTGTGAGGTGGGTGGGGCTGAGAGAACTCTGACACAAACTGCTCTTTTTCAAGGACAGCTGTGCCAGAGCTTGTCACTGACCCAAGGTCACATCAGCAGGTGCAAGTGGAGGAGTGGGGAATCAAACCCGGTTCTCCCAGATTAGAGTCCGCACACTTAAGAGCCCAGAGATTGGACCTGGGACCTTCTCCATGCAAAAACAGGTGCTCCACTACCTAGCCACAGCCCCTCCCTGAAATCCATAGGACAGATCATTTTATCTACCTGTGGATCTCAGTAAATTGAAGAAATTGCAACCCAATACCTGTAAGACGGTCTCAGAACACTGTTGCAAAACTGCCTATCAATTATCAGCTAGGTTTGACTCCAGTTGCCCCTTAGAGACCAACAAGATTTTGGGGCTGAAGAAGCTGAAGAGTCAAATATCCTTTGGTTTTGACACTCAAAAGTTTATACCCTCCAAATCTTGTTGGCCTCTAAGGTGCTACTGGAGTCCGTATCACTGGCAACCTCAATGTTTTTTTCTACAGGAAGTAAGAACTGCTTACGGTTTTATGCGACTTTGGAATGGGAAGGATTATGGCCAATACACAGATGAGCTGGAAAATGGCTCCAAAGAACAGGCCATAGTGTAGGATGTTCTCCATGAGTGTCGGCTCTGGGATTTCCGGGGGTGTGAAGTCCAGCTCAGCAGCCATGGCAGAAATTTCCAACTGTGCCTCCTGTGACCTCAAATCTTTTTGCACTGAAATAACATTTTTGCAATGTACATTTTTCATTATTTTTCATAAAGGTAATCAAAGCAACATAGTGATATATAGCAGAGCATTGACTGTTTTCAGAATCCAAGCAAGAGGGGTCTGGATGGCTACGGAAAAGCAGGAGACAATGTAAAATACAATACCCATGTTGCTGTAAAATAAGTACAACAGCTTGAGAACCCAAGATTTCAGGGTAATTTCACTTGAATTATTAGCAGAGCAAAGGCACTTGTACCTTACCACATGGCAGCTACAGCCACAGGAAGAAACCATCATGTGACGCTTCCATCTGCACAATGAAACAACAGCAACTATTGTTGATTCAAACTTTGCATTGGCTGTTTGTTTCCAGGGCCAATTCAAGGTACTGATTTTAACCTTAAAGTCCTTCTCTGCTCAGAAGGGCCTCCTTAACATTTTTCATCTCAGCCTGGGCAGACTGCCACTATCTCACCACATGGATTTTTAGTGGTGGTTCCGGCACTACAGAATAGCCTGTCAGAAGCCCTACATGTTGCCCCAAATCTCGTGGCATTTAAAAAAAGGGACAAGAAAAGTCGCCCCAGCAAGCCTTTCATGAATAGGTTCTGTTCAGGTTGTTAAGAACAATTGTATACAGGAAGTTTGGGAAGTTATTTTTTAATGATGTTCTTAATTAAGTTTTAGTCTGTGGTTATTTATTGGTGTTTTGAGTTTTATAAGCCACTATGGGTCCCTTAGGGAGAAATAAGAGTTGCCAGCAACCTAGAGAAAAAATGTCCTGCCCCTTTAATAGAGGTATAATGTCAGGAAATTGGCAGTAAAAGCTTCTCATGCCATAGAGGTAAATAACATCACCAGATAAACTATATCCCACAACGCCTCTATTAAAGTGACAAGACACTTTTCCTCCAGGCAGTTGGCAACTCTAGCTATAACCCTAACACAAATAAATGCTCTATTTAACACAAATAAATATTGCAACATAGGGTAAGTAGGCCATGCAAGAGACATTAGTTGCCTCACTAGACTGTATTTCTGGTAATCAGTTTTGCAGCGCTGTTTTAAAATGGTGTAAGAAAATAGTTAAATTCTGTGGAACAGCTTTTACAATACAAATAACAATTGTAACATGGTGAAAAGCTGAGCCTAACTCTTCTTTCCAACAAACAGCACTGCATATTTCACCACTTTTCTCTCTGGCACAACATATGTAAAACAGGAACGTCAAGTTGCTAAATACAAAAATGTAGATCCAGTTAAGCATGGATGCTGGATCCACAAGGAGGATTGCCAACTACTACTGCTTTAATACAAGTTTAAAAAGATGTTATTTACCAGGCGATGTTATTTATCCATGCCACTGAAAGCTTCAGCTATCCATTTCCACAGTTTTAGACTTCCATTAAAGGATCTGGGCATTTTTCTCCAGGCCTGCTGAGAATCCTAACACACACTAAATAATCCACTTTCAATCCACTTTCCAAGTGGATTTTTACTGTGTGAACTGGCAAAATCCAATTAGAAAGTGGAATGAAAGTGGATTATTTAGTGTGTGTGACCGTAGCCCACAAGCTCATTTTCCATGCAATACCACCACCACCCTCCTCCAGAAGCACATAGGTGCTGGGTTGCTTCCAATGCTCCCTCTATATCTTGTGAGCAAGAATTCTACTTTGTGAGTTACTGGCATTAAAGTTGTGAGTGAGCGATTTGAGTAGTGCATAAATCAGTTTCCTCTGGAACCATCCTTCCTGAGCAAAGACAAAAATGTGTGAGCTGGAGGCTAAAAAAACTGTTAGCTAGCTCACACTAACTCATCTTAGAGGGAACACTGGTTGCCAGTAGGCCTGGAGAAAAGTGTCCTTTAATAGATGCTTAATGTGTTGAAATGGACTGTTCAAACTTTGCATGGCATGGAAACAAATCAACATCCCTTTAAGCACCTATTTAAGAAAGATATGGTTCTTCTCCAGGCAGTTGTCAACCCTATCTGCTAAAAACCCAAATACTGTTTCAGGATACCCCATTCACAGAGCGAATCCTAAACAGTCACTTGAACACAATGGGCTTAGAAGGATGCAACACTGTTTAGGGTTTGCAGCATAAATCTATTCTGCCCTCAAACCATTTTTAAAAAAAATATGCTTCAAAGACTGGGCCCAGTCACTCTTGCTCTCTGTAAAATAACATACCTTCCTTAGCCCACTACTAATTTCTAAACGTTATACTTTTGCGGTGGGTTGAACCAATAAAATAACATTAACTAACCTACTTTCTTTCTCTGGCCCGTTGGGAAAGAACCAGACTAATTGCTAATTATACTGTGGACGAGTAATGCATTATTTTAAGCGCACTAAGGAAAAGGAGAAGAGGGATTAAGAAACCTGAGGCGAAGGGTGCTTTTGAGGCACTTTCTGCACCTCGACCATTTTTACAATTGGGTGAAAAAAATAAGGGTGGAGTCGCCAATCTTATCCGCTGTTGTATGCAGGAGATTTTTTGCTTGCTTGTTTTTACGCGCCTAACGCTGCAATACCCTACATAATTTTTAGGAGTACATATGCATTGGATCAGACAGCGCTGTTATCTAGCCTCCAAAGCACATCTTACCTCCTTGCTCCTCCAGCCAAAGCCAGACCGCGTCGCCCGGAAGTGCTTCTGATCTGCCCGGGAACGGCTTCCTCCTGAGGCTGCCCTAGCAACCGCCGGCGGCAGGCGTTGTCAAGGAGGCTCCTTTTCCCTTTGCTGGTTTAGCTAGCTTCCGTGTTCAGAAATGCTGGCGTCTTAAGCGCTGTGCCTGTGCCTCTGAGCAAGGGTGGAGTGCCTAGCTCATTTCTTTTCATGAAATAATAACAATAACAACTCACTATCACGGCTGTTCTTTGTCATTGTCAACAGCTAGGGTTGCTAGCCTCCAGGTGGAGCCTGGGGATCTCCGGCTTTTACAACTGATCTCCAGCTGACAGAGATCAGCTCCCCTGGAGAAAACGGCTGCTTTGAAGGGTGGACCATGCTGAGGCCCCTCCTCTCCCTAAGCCCCGCCCTCTCCTGGATCCACCCCTAAAGTCTCCAGGTATTTTCCAACCCAGACCTGGCAACCCTATCAAGCACAGGTCTGGGATATCAGCTTTCAAAGAAAGGCTCAAAGATTTCCCACTTTCTGTATATGGATGACTCGAAAATGTGTGAAAAGTCATAATCAGAGACTGATTCTTTACTAAATACAATTTGAATATTCAGCAAAGATAAAGTCATGGAATTTGGCCTTGACAAGTGTGTAGGGTTGCCAGGTCCCCCTGGCCACTGACAGTAGATGGGAGATCAGGTTGCTAGCTCCAGGTTGGGGAACCCCTGGAGATTTGGGGATGGAGTCTAGGGAGGACAGGGACCTCAGTAAGGAACAATGCCATAGAGTCCACCCTCCAAAACACACATTTTCTCCAGGGGAACTGATCTCTGTAGTCTGGAGATGAGGTGCAATTCCGGGGGATCCCCAAGTCCCACCTGGAGGCTGGCATGGCATCCCTACAAGTGTGCAGCATTAGCATTGAATAGAGGAAAGCCTATTGAACAAGAAGAAATCAAGATCCCAAACAACAAAATCAAAACACTGAGCTTTGGAGAAAACTACAAATACCTTGGAATTTTGGAAGAGTTAAAAAGATGTTGGTAACAAAATTAAATGGAGACAACACAGTAACTATATGGGTAGTCCCAGTTCTAAGATACACAGCTGGCATTATCAATTGGAAAGAAGCAGAATTAGAAGCAATAGATAGGAAAACTTGCTAGATAATGACAATGCATCACTCAGTACACCCTAGAAGTGATGTTGATCATCTTTACTTATCAAGAAAAGTAGATGGAAGAGGTCTCCTGAAAGTTAAGCAGGACATTCTGGGCATTGAGCAAACGACCAGCTTAGCTCCAGAAGACAATGTTGCTTGGAACAGCAAGAATCCTTTGAAGATACATCTGCAATTCCCAAGAACTTGGCTAGATTTCTAATTGCAGAACACCATCTACCAGTCATATATCTGACTGTGACTATTCATAATTATAATTATAATACTTGAAGGGAAAACTGTGGCTGTGCTTATGCAGGTTGCTTTTATTTTGTCAAAGGACCCAGCTTCTGTTTTGAAATATGGATCATGCATGGTATCTGAGCATGTGCAAAGTCCCTTTCACTGTGCCTCCCCTGTGGAAATAGCACCCTTGTAATATCCCCTACACAGCATAATAAAAAGTAGAGACATCACCCTGCCAACAAAAGTCTGTATGGTCAAAGCAATGGTATTCCCAGTAGTAACCCTGTTTTCCCGAAAATAAGACCTACCCCAAAAATAAGCCCTAGCAGGATTTCTATGCATTTGTGGTATAAGCCCTAGTGTGTCTTCTTGAGAAAAAATAAATATAAGACAGTGTCTTATTTTTGGGGAAACACGGAATGTATGGCTGCAAGAGTTAGACCATAAGGAAGGCCGAGTGCCGAAGAATAGATGCTTTCAAATTATGGTGCTGGAGAAGATTCTTGAGAGTCCTTTGGACTGCAAGAAGATCAAATCAGTCAAACCTAAAAGAAATCAGCCATGACTGTTCCCTGGAAGACCAGATATTGAAGCTGAAGCTTAAATACTTTGACCACCAAATGAGAAGGGAGCAATCACTGGAGAAGACCCTGATGCTGGGAAAGACTGAAGGTAAAAAAAGAAGGGGACGGCAAAGGATGAGATGGTCACAGTGTTATCGATGCAACAAACATGAAATTAAGCAGGCTCTGAGGGTGAACGGAAGACAGGAGGGCCTGGTGTGATGTGGTCCATGGGGTCACGAAGAGTCAGATTGGACTATGTGACTGAACAACAACAACATCAACACATCACAGAAAATACAAATAAGTTTCTCCCCATGTATATCATTCTGGACAGGAGAATAAAATGCTGGCGAGGCCAGTGTATTTGATCAGGGAAAGAATCCCAGGGTTGCCAACCTCCATTTGGAGCCTGGAGATCTCCTGGAATTACGACTGATCTCCAGACTACTGAGATCTGTTTCCCTGGAGAAAATGATGATGCTTCAGAGGGTGGACTCTAGGGCATTGTTCCCCCCTGAGATCCCTCTCCTCCCCAAACCCTACGTCCACAGGTTCCACCCTGGATCTCCAGGAATTTCCCAAACCAGAGCCAGCAACCTTAACATCTTTGATTTCGTAGCAGGAACCAGCATTAAGCGGGGAGCTCTTGCATGCCCCTTCACTGCCTCCTTGTTTGGAAACATCTTTGGCACTAGTTACATTCTGTCCCCCCCCCCCCCCCAAAGCACTGTTCCTGCTTTGTCTTCACAAAGCTTAATCCAATGAAGTATGTTGTTGCCTCTGAAAAGTCATGCATCAATAAAACATTTTCAGGCTGCTTCAGAGGGCAGCTTTGTGTGCTGTGCACAGGGCTGGGCCAATCCATGGCATTTGCCATGCCCACTATCTGCAGTGCATAATCTCAGAGTCACATACCTGAATTCACTGCAATAAGGACAGAGCATGCTAGAACTTATGTCTCATTTCCCATAGTGTTTCATTTAGGCTTGCCAGCCTTCAGTTCACCTGAAGAAAACAGCCACTTCAGAGAGTGGGCTCTCTGTTCAAGCTGAGTTCCCTCCTTTCCCCACCCCTTGCCCTCCCTAGGCTCTGCCCCTAAATCTCCTGGAACTGCCCAACCCAGAGTTGATTGATGTCCTTCCCTAAAACTGTTCTTACCTCCACGTGACTTCTTGGATTGCTTCTGAAGTTAGGGCTGTCCTGGTAATGCGGAAACGGTGAGCAAGCAGAACTGACTCATTCTCGTTTTGTGCTTCCAGAGAGTTGTGCAAAAGGGAACTGGGAAACCCAAATTCTCCTGATATAGATTTTTCTACATCCCGTGCAAAGCCACTCCCCAACCCAGAGGTTTCAGACTGACAAGGCCCTGAACAGGATCGCCACCTTTTTCGGGGAGAGCAATTGGGCCTTCAACAGAGGCATACAATGCACACATTCAGTGGGTGAAATGCATCCTTGTACATGGCATTTCTTCTAAAGGAAAAGCTGCACCTGCTAAATGGTTGCCTGTCTTGAACTTGCTGAAACTTACAGCCAGAAAAAGCTCAGTGGCTTTTGGCTAGTAGAATTGCCAACCACCAGCTGGGGCCTGGAGATCTCCTGGGATTAGAACTGATCTCCAGACTGCACAGATCCATTCCCCTGTAGAAGATGGCTGGTGTGGAGGCTGGAGTGTATGTCATTAGACCCTGCAGAGGTCCCTCCCCTTCCCAAATTCACCCTCCCCAGGGTCCACACCCAAATCTCCAGAAATTCCCCAATCCATAGCGCCGTTCCGGCTTTTACCCTGTCCCTGTGCGGTCTGCCTGCCTGGCCTTCCACAATGAAGAGCAATGCTGTGATCAAGAGGAATGCTGCTAAGAAGATGTCCACCACCTTTAGATTTGTAAGAATTTATATTAAAAATCACTATACCTAGTAGTAAAGTATGAATAATGTAAACAGCAAAACCCGGTCATCTGTAGACAGGGGGCTATATCTGACCCCCTTTTCCACTGGTAAAAAAGGGAGGAGGTCCACCCCAAAACGCTATGTGGGGGAACCTGGAACCTGGATGAACAAAAGCCATGTGGGATGGGGGGCTATAGTGAGGAGGGTAATGGGGTGTGATTGAGTGGAAAAGTTGGCTGGGTCCAAGGATCTGTGCATACTTAGGGGACTCCCCAGACAGGCAGAAAAAAGGACCTTGTAATTTAGCCAAAAGAAAAATGGAGGGTAGCCCTCTCAAAAACAGCCTGATGAGGAATAAATATGCTCCAGAAGGGATGGAGCACTGGAGAAGAGCTGAAGGTCAGTCAAGAGGAGAAAGGCAGAGGGATGAGAAATATGCTTGCTCCAGACACAGAGAGCTTACAGAATCCTGGAGAGGGAGACTGGGCAGGGATTGCCAGATTTTCCACACACCCTGCAATCTCTTGCTTGCGATTAACATAAAAAAAAAACCACACACCAAACTGCTGCCCATTAGATTGGGAGCACCATTTAATCCAGCAGCATGTCCTGAATTACTCAACTCAATTTGGCAGCCCTTATAGCAGCCTTTGAAAACCCATGGAGCTCTCATACATGCACCTCTGAGCAGCACTGCAGCACTAGCTGTCATCTAAATTTATTTCTGCAATCTGCTTTCTTAGTACTAGGCAACGTATTCCATATGGGATCTGACTTGAGGCACAATAGACAACCTGTTTCTTTTTTACTGTTGTATTTTGGGTTTTCCTGCGGAAAGTTGAACCTCTTTGAGCCCTGCTTATGTTTACATTAAGCCCATTCTGGGTTGTTTTCCTGACAGACATTTCTGGGAAAGGTGTTCTTCTTCTTTAGGTAATAAGAATCCCATCAAATCAGTTTTTAAAATATTGTGCACATATTCTGAACATGCCTGATGAAAGAACCTTCACTAAGCAGGACCATAATGGACACCATTCGCGTGAATCTGTTTGCCTGGTGAAGAGTGCTGTGTGGACATTTGATTGGGGAGGGGCCGTGGTTCCATGGTAGAGTCTCTGCTTTGCACACAGAAGGTCCCAGGTTTAATCTCCGGT